CATCTTGGTGTTGATGTGTGTGGTTCAGAATTTGTCCTTAATGAACCATATTCCTCTTACCCAACCCAAACCTGTGTAAACACCCCCATCAGCTCACCCGGGATGTTGCTATTAAAACAATCCCAAAGAACAGCAAAATCCCAGAGAAGAAAAAACAGAGAATCCCAAAGGAACAGCAAAACTTATCCTGAATGGTGTTTTCCCCCTCTTTCTCAGACAACTCACCATTTTATTAACAGAAAACAAGAAAAAACCCCAAACACCAAAGTTTTTAACAGCTTAACGCTTAATTGACTTGCCTGTTAAATACCTGGTTACCTGTGCTGGCTGGGGAATGTGTTTACAGTCTCGGGGAAGGTTGTTTCCACCTGGAGCACGGGGAAGTGGTGAAACACTGAGAGATCCATCCGGAGGTGGAAATTCCTTTGTGCTGACTCCACGGCCGCCTGTCCCCCCCAGCCGGGCCCCAGCAGCACCAAGAAATGTCTGTTTGAATCTCTAATCAGAGAGCTTGGGGAAAGGCATTGTTCCCTCAGTCGTGGGAGCCACTGCTAGCAGTGAGTTAAATATTTATACACCCCTGGAAGGCTGGACAGGTTGGAGCCCCTGGTGGCGCTGCGTTTCTCCAGGGGTTTGTTCATGTCAGGCTCTTGGGCAGATTTGGGATGGGCTTTGAAACACCCAGATCCTACAGGTGTGGTGAGGAGGTGTTGGGGTTTTGGACATCTTTGGGACAGGGGTTTTAAGCACCCAGTTCTTACAGGTGTAAGGAGATGTTGTGGTCTTGGGCAGCTTTGGGACACGGGTTTGAAGCACCCAGATCCTACAGAGGTGGTGGTGAGGAGGTGTCGTGGCTGTGCTGGGCAGCTTTGGGGTAGGGTTTTTAAACACCCAGTTCCTCCAGATGTGGTGAAGTGGTGTTGGGGTCTTGGGCAGCTTTAGGAGAGGGTTTTTAAACACCCAGTTCTTCCAGATGTGGTGAGGAGATGTTGTGGTCTTGGGCATCTCTGGGACAGGGGTTCTAAGCACCCAGTTCCTCCAGACATGGTAAAGAGGTGTCATGGTCTTGGTCAGCTTTGGGGAGGGGTTTTAACACCCAGTTCCTACAGGTGTTGTGGTCTTGGGCATCTCTGGGACAGGGGTTTCAACACTCAGTTCCTCCAGAGGTGGTGGGGTGGTGTTGGGATCTTGGGCAGCTTTAGGAGAGGGGTTTGAAAGACCCAGTTCTTCCAGAGGTGATGGTGAGGAGGTGTAATGGTCTTGGGCAGCTTTGGGAGAGGTGTTGTGGTCTTGGGCATCTCTGGGACAGGGGTTTCAACACCCAGTTCCTCCAGAGGTGGTGAGGAGGTGTCATGGCTGTGCTGAGCAGCTTTCTCCTGGTCCATGGCCCCACAGCAGTTTTTGTGGTGCAGCGTGGTGGCTTCTGCCCCTACCCAGAGCAGCTGTTCCTTTGTCCCCTTGCTTGGGCCTGTGGATTTTCCTTTGGACTTTCTGTGAGGAATGGAGGGAGTTGATTTTTTTATTTCCTGTGCTGATTTTCCAAAGTCTCCCACAGCCTTAACCAGAGGCTGGGGGCTGTGGATGTCATGTCTGAACCTCTCCTGAGCCTCCCCACATGCCAGAGCTCCCAAAAGCCACCTTAGAGTCACAGAATGTCCTGAGTTGGGAGGGACCCACAAAGATCCTTGAGCACAAACACCCCAAAAATCCCACCCTGAGCATCTCTGGGGGCATTGTCCAAACATTCCTGGAGCTCTGGCAGCCTTGGGGTTGGGACCATTCCCTGGGGAGCCAATTTTTTTGTGCAAAAAATCAAATCTCTGTGTGCCATAGCAATTATTGGGGTCTGCAGACCTTAGTGGAGAAGGGTAGTGAGGTGCACAAACCTATTCACTGTTGACCTGCAGTGAAAGCACAAAGTGGCAGCAAAATCTCAAACAAAATCCGTGGTTTTGGCCCATCTGAGTGACATAACCTGGAGTAAGAGTTGTAAGAATCCCCAGTGAAGATGCTCTGGAGAGGTTTTACACAACTTGAGGTGCTCTCTAGCATGCAGACTTTGATAATGTCATGGCATCTGTTCAGGATCTTGGGTAATGAGGATTTGCACAAAGTGGTGATTGAATTTCTGGTCTTGAGCACTTAATGGAAAAAGAGCTGTTGCCTTGGGTGCTTTGCTTTCTTCGAGCTGTCTTTGAGACATCAAAAGCTGGCGGAACAGGAAAAAGAGAAACGTTAAGAATGGTTTAAAAATAGTTTAATTGTATCTTCTGAAAACCTTTGGAGTGGGGACTTTAGGCGGTTTCTGCCCCTGTGAATACTTGCAGCTGAGTTCAAAATGTGTAAATAAGCACAGGGCTTTGAAGATTAGTTTCCATAACAAATTAAATAAAAATATTGTGTGACAGAATGTTAAGTAGGTGCCATGTGTCACCGGGTGCTTTGCATGAGGGCTGGCTTTTCCCAATTACCTGGCTGCTCCTTGGGAAACAAATGCTGTCTTTTGGATACTTTAAACTCTGAGCTTGAAAGAGGCAGGGGAAAAGTCCCTTTTTGAGGAAGTGCTGGTGAGGAACACTGAGAGCAGGATTCCTTGCAGGACATCTCTGTCTCAGTGGAGATGTGGGAGAAAGCCCAGGCTTTCCCCCTGCTCACAAACCTTGATATTCCAGCTGGAATTAGTAAATTTGATAGTGCTTTGGACTAAAATCTGGAATTTTCTGTTGCAAATATTTCTAATAAACTGCAGGCAGGACATCTGTTGCTAGACTCTGTTCATCTGTGTATAACAATTTCGAATATCCATGTATAACCATTTAAAATATCCATGTATAACCTGGCTTTTAAAGCAAGCTTCTCATTTTATATTTAGTCTAATGTAAGGTGTTACCTGCAGGTTGCTATTTGACTGTTGCATTTCAATCAAATACTGCTTGTGACAGGTTCACAAAATAAGACCTGTTGCTAGAAAAGTGCAAAAAGTTGGAAAGGAAACTAATTCGAAACACATTCCTGTGCTTTTTGTAATGGATGAGTGATGCACAGAGAAAACACCTGCACTGAAAGACAAACACAGAAGCAGTAAGATGTTTGAGATTTGTGGTAGAATTTCAGCTTTATCCATTTTGTATTTCTTCAAGGGATTTATCAGGCTGGAGCAGAGCAGAGGTTGCTCATCTTTACTACCTCATCTAGTCCTGCTTATTCCAAGAATGGCATTAACAGCTTTAACACACTTAATTCTGCAATCCCCTGACATGGGCTGGAGGGGGATTTTCTTCCTAACACAGCTGGGGGTTGGATCATCCCAACATGTTGTGCTGTGGCTCCCACATGCTGCTCCTTTGGCTGGATAAAACTTGACCACATTCCACTGCTGGTCTGCTCAGGTGCCTTAACCAGAATTTAGAGATAATATTTCAAAATAGAGATAATATTTCACCTCTGGATATCGATAGGTCAGGATAAAATAAATAATAAATAAGTTAATAAAGCCCCTCCTGCCTGGACACTGAGTATTGGACAGAAAGCTGGGGAAATGTTGAGGCAGATGGTGTTAATTCAGGATTTATTGCTGTCTCCCTTCTCCAGGGGGGCTCAGGCAGGACATCAGGAGATGCTCAGGTGTTCCCTCAGAGCACTCTGGTTTGGTGAGGACAAGGGGTGTCTTGATCTGTGTCTTGGCAATTCACAGCTGCATCTCAAAGGCTGTGAGGATAAATCCAGGTCCCTGTCCCCCATCTAAAGCCCTTCTTCCTGCTTCTGAAGCCCTGCTTGGCACTGGTGTTGGCTCTCGGAGTGCTGATTTCAGCTCTGTTCTCTTTCCTGACATGGAGTTCTTGGTGTGTTCTGGGTTACAGAGTTGGGTTTGATCATTTCAGCCTCATTTGGACCTCTCAGACTGAGTGTGGAGATGCTGAAGGACAGGACTGACCTTCCCCTGGAGCTTCCCTGACTTTGTTCATCCTGCCCTCCTCCTCCTCCTTGAGTTACTCATGAGTTGCTCTGCTTGGTTTGGAGTTCAAAGCCCAAACCGCTCGTTAAAGCTGTTGTGGGGTGCTAAGTAATGAGTAATTAAAAAGAAAACCATAAAAACCTCAAGCAATAACACTCGTGGGTGCCCTCCTATGTGGACCTGTAGGGAGAGCTACTGAAGAGCTCGTGTCGGTGCCAGGGCTGCCTCCAGGAAACCAGGGACAGGGTGATAGACAATGGGAAGCAAATCCTGATTAACATGAAGGGTTGTGTAAAAGTGCTGTTGGACATGTGTTATTTGCAGTACTGCTGTAGGAAATTAGGTTTTTTAAACTGAGAAACAAGAATTTTCTGGCTGAAACTGGCTGTGCCAGGCTGGGAAGCTCTTGGTGTGGTGTCTCATCACTCCTGAGCTTCAGAAATGACACCAGGGATCTCCTGGAGGTCTTTGCTGGACTGAGGGAGGAGGAAAACTCAGTTTTCTTTTGAAGATGAGCACTGATGAGTTGTGAGGATGAATGGTAAGACTCCTCAAAAACATTCTTGAAATGTGGAATTTACACAGAAAGGTGGAGATGAGGAGGCAGTATTTACACTGTCGAGTGGCGATGAGGCAGAATTTGCACTGAAAGGTGGAGATGAGGCAGAATTTGCAGTGAAAGGTGGAGATGGGGCAGAATTTGCAGTGAAAGGTGGAGATGAGGCAGAATTTACACTGAAAGGTGGATGAGATGAGGCAGAATTTTCACTGAAAGGTGGAGATGAGGCAGAATTTGTGGTGAAAGGTGGAGATGAGGCAGAATTTTCACTGAAAGGTGGATGAGATGAGGCAGAATTTGCTCTGGCAAGTGGACATGAGGCGGAATTTTCTCTGAGAGCTGCAGATGAGGCAGAGGCTCCGTGGCTGCCCCTTCGCACAGGAAGCTCCCAGGACAAGCAGGACCAGGTGCCACCTCTGTAACCTCTCAGGCCACACGTGGGCAGGCTCTCAGTGACACTCACCTGCCTCTGGTGTTTCTCCCCAGTGTGTCCCCCTGCCTGCAAGTCCCAGGGCTGCACGGGGGACGGGCAGTGCTGCCACAGCGAGTGCCTGGGCGACTGCACGGAGCCCAACGACCCCACCAGGTGTGTGGCCTGCAAAAACTTCTACCTGGACGGGAGGTGTGTGGAGAACTGTCCCCCCGGGCACTACCGCTTCGAGGGCTGGCGCTGCGTCACCTTCAGCTTCTGCCAGGAGCTGCACAACAAGTGCAAGAACGCCCGCGAGTCCGGCTGCCACGTCATCCACAACAACGAGTGCGTGCACGAGTGCCCCTCGGGGTACATCATGAACTCCAGCAAGTGAGTACCTGGGCTGCTGGGAGAAAACTGGGGCTTGGGTGGGCTTTCCTCCTCTTTGGACATGGGGTTTGGGTGGTGTGTCAAGAGCAGGAGTGTCATTCTTGTGCTGAGAGTGACACAGTGTCGTGGTTTGACACAGTGCCCCCATGAAAATATATTCTCCCCAGTGGCTGTTGTGAGATGTGACCAGAAATAGAGCAAAACAGGCTCCAATTCAGGAGTAAAGGACAAAAACTTTATTAACTTACAATATGTAAAAGAAACAAACAGAACTCAGAATGAAAATTTTCCAAAAACGTTTCTCCTCCCCCCACCAAATTCCCAGCACAGCACAGTGAGACAAAACCTTGGGTTCTCAATCAATTTACTACCCCTCAGGTAACCAACTCTCAGTTCATCACCACCCTTCATATAATCAGTTCTCAGCTCATCAAGAAGAGAGGAGTCCCTCTTGTACCATAGGCTTCCCCAGGAAACGCAGTTGAAACTTCTTTATTCAAGAGAACCACGTGGTTTTTATAGAATGATAGCATACATTCTATGTGATTGCCTAATTAACAAAAACATCTTTTGTAAGTAGAGCTTGAGACTCTTAATCTCATGGTTGTGGGTTTGAGCCCCACGTTGGGCACCACCTGTAAGAGTTCAGAGTTGTGGGTTTGAGCCCCACGTTGGGCGCCAATGTAAGAATCCATGTCTGGATGAGCTGTCTGGGTCCAACCCGGCTGGCTGGAGACCCCAGCCCACAGGATCTTACATAGATGAAGACAAGAAGTGCTCTTCTCCAGGTGGGGATGAATTTACAGTAAAAGCTGAAGATGAGGCAGAATTTGCACTGAAAGTGGGAGATGAGGCAGAATTTTCACAAAAAGGTGGACATGAGACAGAATTGGCACTGACGAGTGGAAATGAGGCAGATTTGGCACTGAATGGTGGAAATGAGGCAGAATTTGCTCTATCAAGTGGAGATAGAGGCAGGGGATGAATGTCCTCTATTTAGATGGAAAAACCTACATGGGAAGCACTTGTGGCTCATGGCAGGAGACTTTTATACCTGGGGGAGTGCAGGGCAGAGGAAGAGAACCACAGCCAATGGGATACCAGTGAGGAGGGGTGAGAGAGGGACTGACCAGGGAAGAGACCACCAGTGCTGATAATTAGTGGGGGGAAAAGGGGAAGAACATGTGGTCATAGGATACAAATCATGTGAAAAGCAAAAATTACCAAACACCCAGTGCAAACAACTAAATAACTGTTTAGTGCAATACAACAATCTTCCTCATACACCATCCTTGAGAAGAACAGGCAGAAGAAGTAGAAGAACACCACCTGCAGATTGTTTATACATAACAAGTTATCTCATCCCTACAACTCCCTAAAAATTCTCCCAAGCCACTGTGAGAAACGCTTGCTGTTTTTCTCTTTCTGTCCCATGGCATCCACACAGGAGTTGGAGCAATCACCTGGCCTGCTTTAATATGATTTACAAACTAATACCTTGCTAATTCAAGCCATTAAAAGCTCTCCCTGCCATGGGCTGGTAGTTTATTCTTCCCTTGCTTGCTGTCAAGTTTGGAAAAAGCGAGAAAGGGAGATGGAGAGAGGACAAGGAAGAGCATCCACAGCGTGGGAGGAGGGAGCTGGGCAGTGGATTTAGCAACCCCGCTTCCCTCCCCTCCGGAGCAGCCTCAGGCCAGGGAGCCAGGCTGGAAAAGCACAGCAGGGAGAGGCCGTGGCTAATGAAGAGAGCACAGCGTCCTCGGAGTGCTCGTTCTCAGAATATCAGTCCCTCATCCCTGTAATTACTTTCATTGAGCAGGTTCAAGCTGTGCCAGACATAAATGCACAATGTAACAAACAAGTGTAGCACGAATCAAAGCAGGGAACAGCCATTCTGCCTATTCCCAGGGGGTTTTGACAAAGGAATTAAATAATTTATGGTGCTGAGCTGTTTATCCCTGAAAACTTGGTTGTTTGTCCCGCATTACCATTCTAGATTGTGGTGAGTCAGATTTCCTATGAATATTGGTCTCTTTGTGCTTGCATGTATTTGCTCCTGCCATAATAATTTCAGGGAATTCACTCTTAACAGGACTTTTTATGCCATTTCCTGTTTTGTTTTTCCAAAGAACCAACAAGCAGCCCCCAGAGTGGCCGTGCTGCTTGTGCAACAGCCCCATGGCCCCTCCTGTGCTGTTCCAGGCTGCTGCCAGTGGGACCTCACAGCTCTGCTCCCTGCTTTTCCTAGAGCATTTCTTTCTCTGAGCTAGTTGGGAACACATTCTTGTGGTGGTGTGACCAGGGCAAGCCATCAGCTCGTGCTATTTAAGCAGTATTTCCCCAGAGCACAAAGCACATTCTTGCCTTTTTTTAAAGCAACATTGTGTGCAGTCTTCAATCAGAGGATTCCCAGATGCAGGGCCAGCTCTCCACTCATCAATTACACGTTTGGTTAATGATTTTGAGATGAATACTGGGCTGGGATTTATTATCTTGAAAGCCCTGGGATGGTGAGCACTGGGCAGCATCCTAGCCAGTTGCCTCTTCATAATAATTCAGGTCACTTCATTTTGTTTTGTAGGGAGGGATGGAACAATTCATGTTTGAAGTGACAATTTAAGACCATTTAAATTTATCAGCAGCTATTTTCAAGGCCAGGTTGGATGGGGCTTGGTGTGGAAAGAGGTTGGAATGGGACGAGCTTTAAGATCCCTTCCAACCCAAACCATTCCACGATTCTGTGCCTCTCTTTGGAGTTCCTAAAAGGGAACCCCATGATGATTGATCACTCAGCTTTTGGGCACTGCTGGGGCCATCCTGCCTGACCCTGCTCCCTTCCTGTGCTGTTTTGCAGCCTGCACTGCACGCCCTGTGCAGGGCCCTGCCCCAAGGTGTGTGACTTTGGCAAGGAGAAGACCATCGACTCGGTGACGTCGGCGCAGGAGCTGCGGGGCTGCACCGTGGTCAACGGCAGCCTGGTCATCAACATCCGCGGGGGAAGTAAGTGAGGATGGCTGGGCAGCCAAGGAAACCCCCTCAGCCTCAGAGGGACCCAGAGAAACCAGCACAAAGCAAAGGCTTTCATTTGACTGTTTTTGTTAATTGATTGTTGCCGGTTCTCCTGAATTAACGTAAAGAAATTAAATATTAATGTTTATTAATTGTCGCGTTCGCGTTCTCTGGAAAAATCCCTTTGCCCAGGATTTTTCTCCTGGGAGGCTGAGAAGCCTCAGAAAAAGGAAAACAATTCTTATCTCATTTGCTTCTCCTCTGTTTTGCTCATGTGGAATGTGTTTGGGAATTGTTTACCCACAGATGATTGCTTAATTGGTTTCTGGTGTGAATTATTTTTATTCTTTGGCCAATCAGTGCCAAGCTGTGTCAGGACTCTGGAGAGAGTTACAATTTTTCATTATTATCTATTATTTAGCATTCTTTTTAGCATTTTAGCATACTAAGTATCCTTTCTGTATTCTCTAGTATAGTATAGTATAGTATAGTATAGTATAGTATAGTATAGTATAGTATAGTATTCTTTAATATAATATAGTATCGTAAAATAATAAATTAGCCTTATGAGAACATGGAGTCAGATTCATCATTCCTCCCTGCCATGAGGATCTCAGCAAATACAATAATTAATATTGTTAAATATGAATGTTTGGGCTTTAATTGTTTCATATTAATGTTAATTGTTTCATATTAATATTAATTAATATTCATGTTAATTGTTTAGCATTCATGTAATATGTGGGTGTTTCTCTCTGTGATACCAAATAACTCTTCCCAATGTTTTCCTCTCTGTAGATAACATAGCAGCTGAGCTGGAAGCAAACCTTGGCTTGATAGAAGAAATCTCAGGTTACCTAAAAATCCGCCGCTCTTACGCCTTGGTTTCCCTTTCCTTTTTTCGGAAACTCCATCTGATCAGAGGAGAGACACTTGAAGCTGGGTGAGTTCTCTCAAAAGATGCTTTATTTGAATGTTTTGAAGTACCAGGAGTGCCACTTCTATCAGGGTTATTTGTATTGGGAAACAATTCCCAAGTTGTTTTTAAATGTTCTTCTGCCCGTGCCTTGTGCCCTGCCAGGGCAAACAATTTGCATTCATTTTTCTTTGGTGCCTGAATTAGTGCAAAAAGAGTTTTCCATGCATCCCCTCCCAACCCATGTTTTCATTCTTCTATTTTCAGGAATTATTCCTTTTATGCCTTGGACAACCAGAATCTTCGCCAGCTCTGGGACTGGAGCAAACACAACCTCACTATTGCACGGGGCAAACTCTTCTTCCACTACAACCCCAAGCTGTGCTTGTCAGAAATCCACAAGATGGAGGAGATCTCTGGGACTAAGGGGCGTCAGGAGAGGAATGACATAGCCCTGAAGACCAACGGGGATCAGGCCTCATGTAAGAGCCTCAAAATAAAGCTTTGCTTCCCTTTCCTCTCCCTCTGCCTTGCTGTCCTCATGCTGCTTCTTCTCCCAGCCCAGCCCATGAAGCTTTCCATCCCTTTCCATCTCTTTCCATCTCTTTCCATCTCTTTCCATCTCTTTCCATCTCTTTCCATCCCTTTCCATCCCTTTCCATCCCTTTCCATCCCTTTCCATCCCTTTTCATTCCTTAGGTAAAGCAACAGATGTGCCCCTTGCCTGTGCACTCACTGTCACTGTGCCACAAGTAAAATTTCCCACAGGATCTCCCTCTGTCACTCTTGGTCCCACAAAACCCTGGAAGGTTTTTGGGGCTGGGAATGTCTTTATTGTGTCTTTTTGAAGAGTTTAACACAGTGTAACCTCAGCCCAGGCTGGGACTTTGTGTTACTGCTGAGTACCTGATTAATAGTCATAATCTGCTTTTCCCATGTCATGAGGCAACATGGAATAAACACAGGAGAAACAGGATTTCCACCCATCCCTGCAGCCACGTGAGGCAATTGCCATGACAACAGGCAGGGAAAAATTTCCAACCATTTTTGCAATGCCTCTCTGAGGTTTTTCACCCAACAGCTTTCTTCAGGAACAACCATCAAACTGCTCCTGTGTCAGCAAACAGCACAGGGTGGGCTTTGAAGTTGTGCTGCTGAAGATGGGGTTCTGCAGACAATTATTTTGGCAGCAATACTGCAAGAAATGCAGTCCTTCTGCGCCCTCAGTCCTGCTGTTTGTTCCCTTTTTGTGCCACCAACAATCCCCTTTCCCTGTTTGTACCAGGGCTCTGTTGTGGAAGTAATCAGGGGTAGGAGAATCCAGCTCTGTTCTGAGCTGGTGGTGTCTCTCTGCTCTGATTCATTCTCAGCCCCACAGAGATTCGCCTGCCCACAGGAGCAGGAGCATGTGCAGGTGGTCATGGGCCCCTTGGAGCTCAGGGTGTTCTGTGCAGGACATGGGGACAGAGGCAGTGACCCCTCCATGCAGCTGGGTTGTGTCCTGGGAGATGCTGGGGCAGGTATTGCCACCAAAAAAGCCCAGCATTGACTGAACTGGGATTTCAGACCCTGGCTCACAACCTGCAGTACAGCTTGGGCATCCTGTGGGTTCACTGTCCCTCTGCTTTTGGGGACAGCCCTGGAAGAAGAGCCCAAGATCCTTCCCCGCTCAGAACATTCCAGGATTCTGTGATTTCTGATCCTGTCCTCGTTGCCCCTCGTTGATGCAGCTGTTTGTGAACAGACCTAAAAAGTGAAGATCTTTCAGTTGACTCAGTTTCCTGCTCTGGTTTCCCACATTTCATCACCACAGGCAGGCAGGCCAGCACAGAGGGAGAGGGGAATGCAATGGCTGTGACCTGAAACCTGGCAGGAGCAGTGAAAAACACACACGGAGCCTCTGGGGCACCACAGCTCCAGCTGGGCACAGGCAAGAGCACAAGGAATCAGCTGTCTGTAAAGTTCATCTCCTCCCATGGGACACTGAAAAACTCTTCCCACATTGGGGATGAACCTGAATTTGGGTAGATGCAGCTCTGCCTGTGGCTCCTGGGCTGGTGTTTGGTGTGAAGGCAGCTGGAGGAGACAGTTTTGCATTTCTCTTTGCCAGCTTTACCCTCACCCTGCTGAGCTGGTGTCTGTGCCACCCCCACCTCAAACCACAGCTTGCCAGGTTGTTTGGCTTTTTGTTTGCTTTTACATTTCAAGCTCAGCTTTCACATTGGCAGCATCCTGTTTACTAAAAAAAAATAGAAAGGGGGGAAAAAAAACCGCCCCTGTTTGTTCTGGATGTGGTGCCAGTGAAATAAATGTTCTTCCTCCTGTTGCAGCTATTGCAGAAATAGCAAATTCAGTCAGAGCCACTTGAGCTGGGGGCACAAAACATGTCATACCTTGAGCTCCATCCTCCTGCAAACACCCTCCTGTTTGCAGAGGGACCTCACTGCTCCTGGGCAAGGCTGGAAATTTGTCTGCATCGTTTTTGTGGCCTCTTGCCTTCTGTGCAAACCATATTGCTGTGCAGATCATCATCAATTGTGAAATGTGTTGCCTTTAGATTTCTCACTTTGTAGAATTTAGTTGAGCTCTTCTTCAGAGTCATTTTCATGAAATCATAGAGAAATTTAACCTTAGGAGGGCATTGATACCAGCCACTGATTTGAGGTAGGAATGGCTGCCAGGTAAGATAAGGTTTTACTGGGCAGCTCTTCTCAGTGCCAACATCCTCACATTTATCTTAAACTTCTAAAATAATTAAAAACAAAATTTAAATTATGTTCGATGCTTCATTTTCCAGCATCAATAAAACTCTTGTCACTTTTCTCACTTGTTACAGGTGAAAACGAACTGCTGAAATTTTCTTCCATTAGGACTTCTCATGACAAGATCCTGCTGAAGTGGGAGCCCTACTGGCCCCCTGATTTCCGTGACCTGCTGGGGTTTATGCTGTTCTACAAGGAGGCGTAAGTGACCCCTCAGTGGCCTTGCTGGGCTGCCACCAGCAGCAGCTGCCATTCAGAGCTGGATGTTCAACCTGCTGGATGGGCAAAGCTGTTCAGTCTCTGATTTTGTGGCTCCTACATCAAAGTTTCCAGTGATATCCTTCTGTAAAAGTGTTCATTGAGATCCCTGACTTGTGCACACAATTCCTCATTTAAGAACAATCCAAACTTTAGTTATTCCTGGTGTTCTAGACACACATACTCAAACCATGGAGTTTCTCATCTCCTCACAGTTCCTCATTTAAGAACAATCCCAACTTCAGTTATTCCTGCTGTTGTAGACGCACATACTCAAACCATGGAGTTTCTCATCTCCTCACAGTTCCTCATTTAAGAACAATCTCAACTTCAGTTATTCTTGCTGTTGTAGACGCACATACTCAAACCATGGAGTTTCTCATCTCCTCACTCTCTCTGTGGAATGCTGAGGGTTTTATCCCCTTTGAGGTGGGAAAGATTCTTGTAGAATCAAGGTAACCAAGCTGATTTTCATAAAGCTCACAATAATCAGTCTGGATTTGGTTGTTGGGGTCATGTTGGGCACAGATCCTGCTTTGTGATGCTGTTGGAGGCCCAGGTGACAAAGCTCCCAATGCCTCCCTTTCAGAATAAATACAGTGAGATAATTTTACTTTCTCTGAAGGGTAAAGGGTGATAACTTCAGTGTGTCTTTAGAAATTTTAAGAGCTTGATTGAGGATTCTGTTAACTGGAGCCTTCTCTTTCCTCAAGTCCCTACCAGAACGTGACGGAGTTCGATGGCCAGGACGCCTGCGGCTCCAACAGCTGGACAGTTGTGGATGTGGATCCCCCACCTCGCTCCAACGAGCCCAAAGCCCAGGCCCAGCCAGGCTGGCTCCTGAGGGGCCTGAAGCCCTGGACACAGTATGCAGTGTTTGTGAAAACCCTGGTCACCTTCTCCGACGAGCGGCGCACGTATGGCGCCAAGAGCGAGATCATCTACGTGCAGACCAACGCCACGGGTCAGTGCAGCACCCCTGGGCTGAAACCAGGCCTAACTGAGCCTGCTTGGGGGTTAGCCAGGAGATTTCCCACTGCTCTGCTTTGGTGGGGAGGAATTATCCAGAAAATTTCCTACTGCCCTGGAGGAATTATCCAGGAAACTTCCCGCTGCCTTGCTTTGGTAGAGAGGAATTATCCAGGAGACTTCCCACTGCCCTGCAGGAATTATCCAGGAAATTTCCCACTGCCTTGCTTTGGTAGAGAGGAATTATCCAGAAAACTTCCCACTGCTCTGCTTTGGTGGGAGGGAATTATCCAGGAATCTTCTGACTGCCCTGCTTTGGTAGGCAGGAAATATTCAGGAAATTCCCACTGCCCTGCTTTGGTTGGAAGGAATTATCCAGGAAACTTCCCACTGCCCTGCAGGAATTATACAGAAAACTTCCTTCCCACTGCCCTGCTTTGTTAGAGAGAAATTATTTAGGAAACTTCCCACTGCCCTGGAGGAATTATCCAGGAAACTTTCTTGAATTATCCAGGAATTATTTAGGAAATTTCCCACTGCCCTGCTTTGGGAGGGAGGAATTATTCAGGAAACTTCCTACCCACTGCCCTGCTTTGGTAGGAAGGAATTCCTAAACCAGGGGAGTGATTCCAGATGGTGCCAAGGGGCACCTCTTCCATCCAATTTGTGTGGCCTCGTTAAGATAAGGCTGGAAGAGGCTCCAGGATGATCCAGCCCAGGCTGGAGGAGCCTGCTGGGTGCCAGGGAATGCTTGATTGCCATAGAAAGGGGAATTTGCCATAGAAATGGGAATTTTCCTGTGCTGGCTCTGAGGGCAGTGCAGTGACCTCTGTCTCTTGCCCACCCCCAGTTCCGTCGGTCCCGTTAGATCCCATCTCTGTCTCCAACTCCTCATCCCAAATCATCCTCAAGTGGAAGCCTCCCTCAGAGCCCAACGGGAACATCACACACTACCTGGTGTACTGGCAGCAGCAGGCAGAGGACAGTGAGCTCTATGAACTCGATTACTGCCTCAAAGGTGAGTGCCTGCATTCCCTCCAGCCCTTTCCCTCAGTCTCTCCCACAATTGGGGTTTTCCCTTGGGGGTGCTCTGGGGTCCTGCTGGATTCAGGACTGTTTTTCTGGAATCAGCTTTGTCCCTCCCTGTTCTCTTACATTAGGTGCTGCTGCCAAGGTATGTGCAAAAGGTCTAAAAATGTTTCTTGTAAAGTAATCACATGTTTTTTCCTTTGGGGAATGTCCCTTCTGCCCTTGCTCCTTTTAAACTGAATTATGAGTTTAATAGCAACAATGGAGATAATAAAAATTTGGGTGCTGTTGGAGCTCAGGGCCAAGTTAATTTTTGAAGGCAGCTGGTGCCTGGTTTGGAATTCCTTGAGAACGCAGAATTGCACTGAGGACTTCCAAAATCTCACCTGCTGCTCTGTGTTACCTGAACTGGTATAAAGCAGCATCCAAGCTCCATTGCAAAACCAGCATTTTTTAATTAAATTCCTGTCAGAAAGGAGAGAACTGTTCAGCCCTGGATGAGAAAATGGGATGCCCAAATGTGCCATGAATCCTGTGTACACTGGTTTGGGATCTTTGTGTAGGATCAAACATCTGCCAAGACAGGCACAAGTGCCACTAAAACTGTTTTGTCCCCAGGATTAAAGCTGCCCTCAAGGACGTGGTCTCCTCCTTTTGAATCTGAAGACCCCCAGAAGTATAACCAGAGTGAAGCTGAGGATGTCAGTGGGGAATGTTGCTCCTGTCCTAAAACAGACTCCCAGATCCAGAAGGAGCTGGAGGAATCTGCTTTCCGCAAGACCTTCGAGAATTATCTCCACAACGAGGTTTTTGTGCCCAGGTGAGAACATCAAACAGGGCTCAGGGGCAGGGAAATGTAATTGAGGATTAAATAAAAATACCAGCTTGGACACAGCCACATTGCCAGGCCTCCATGAGCCAGCTGGATATGGGTGTTGAAATAGGGAGAGCAGAGCACCTACCACACATCTTCCTGCAGATTGGGAAGCTCCTGCTTTCATTTCCTGTCCCTAAATTCTCCTCAGCTCAAGAATAAAGTGAGAATCCTTAACAAACAGCCTGCAGCTCATCTGGCATCAGATGATGCCAAAAATAGCGATTTTCTTTTCCTGTCTTAAAATTTTGTGGTCAGGTTTCTCATTGAGTTGCAAAGAAAGGAGAAGGGCAGTGTACCAGGCCACAGCCTCGTCTTCCAGCGTGGTATTTGTGGTCTCCCTTCACTTAGTGTGGGAAATGCCTCCAATACCATGAGGAATGTGAGTGCCTGGGTGGTGAATGTCCTGTTTGCAGTGGCACACTTGGTGTCACATTAAGTGGTGTTGAATGTCTTCGCACTTCATCTGCAGCCTTGGGGAGGAAGTGCTGGGGAGCAGGGTAGAATCTGTGGTGATTTACCCTCTTCCCTCTCATGCCTTTTGTGCTCTGAATTTATTCTCTGCTTGCTGCCCTCAGCCAGCAAAGCTGCATTTGCAGCTGCCTGACAAAAGCTGGGTCACTGCACTGAGCATTTTCCCTGGGGTTCCCTGCCCTGGTGCCTGCACTCCTCACACTGAAGCTTGAGCAGAACCCCTCATTTTGCTGTTGGTGCCCATCAGGATGAGCTGCAGTGTGCCACAGGATGCTAGGACATGACACACTCCAAAGCAGAGGAGAACCAAGCCAAATGCAAGAGCCAAACTCCTCCTGATGCAGGCAGACAATTCTGACACTCTGATTTCTTTTTTTTTTTCCCCATGCCCAATTTTATTGTGCAGCCAGGCCAGTTTCTGGGGTGTATATTTTAGGAAGAAACCAATCACCAGGATGTGCCACCTTGTCAGCCTCCTGAGGAAGAAATCCCCACATCCCATGGCCAGCTAATCCTCTAAAACAAGGCAGTGCTGGAGAGGCCTCTCTGCTGCCACGTGCCCTGCTTGTCCTCCCTGGCAGGCTCCAGGCTGTCAGCACATAAATCAGAATTCTTCTTCCTGTGAATGCTGTGCCATCACCTGCTCACAGAGCCTGGCAGGGAGCAGGGAGTGGGGTTTAATTTACTTCAGGTGCTTTTTTTGTGGCTCCTGAGAGTTCAGTGACCTCTCCTGAGGCGCTGTGTGGCCTCTCCTGGAGAGCTGGAGCTTGCCAGCCACGGGAGGAATGTCAGGGGTGAGGACAGCAGGGAACAGGAGATGCCAGGGCAGCAGAATCACAGCAGTTTCTCCCTGATATCTTCTTGTTTTCCATGTGCCATTTGTGCCCTCCTGCCCTGCTCCCAGCGATCTGATCCCTGGGCAGGATCCAGCCTCAGTGCAGGGCTGATCTCACCCTCTGGAAATCACAGTTCCTTCCCCCTGGGCACGTTGATTACCCACTCCAGGAGCCACTGTCACACCTCCTGGGGCTCAGCTTTCTCTGGGTGACAAAAAGCCAAACTAGAAGTTCAGGAATGTTCCTGTGCTCAGGCAGAGCTGGCAGTGCCTCACTCCAGGTCGCCTTTGGTGCTGAGCAAAGTGGCCATCTTTGTTTGTTTGGTGCTTTGTTTCTTCTTTCCTGGGTTATTTGCTCTCATTTTGGAGGAGTTCTGCTCAGGCTGGAGCTCAGGGATGGATGTGTGGAGTCTTCATCCCTGGATGTCCAGCATGGCCCTGAGCTACCTGCTCCAGCTGCTTTGGGCCAGGAACTGGGCTCAGACAATCCCCAGAAGTGCCTCCAGCCTCAGCCCTCCATGATTCTGTGGGGAAGATTCAGAAGAAGCCTTGAGAGTCAGAGAGGAGCTCAGTGGCTGCTGTTCAGGGTGTCATTCCAGGTATTCCCTCCATTCCTTCACCACTGCAGCAAGAGCAGCCCCAGTTCTCTGTCTCTCTCTGTCACACACATTTGTGCCGTTCCCAATATTCTTGAGGAGCAAGATCTGAGGAATGACTCACTTTAAAAGTTATTATTTTCCTCTGTGTTTCCCAATTCGGTTCATTGTACAGACAAATCTAAAATGCTTTGGCTAGGCCAGCAGACCTGGGGCAGTTTCAGGGCTTTGGAAAAGCTTGGCTCAAGGTTCCAAAGGCATTTTTGGAATCCCCCAGCACAGGCCATGCTGTGTGTGCTGAGGTGTCACTTCCAGCCCCCTCACACCTCCTGGTCACCTGTGAGGACAGGAGGAACCTGGACCTGAGGATTTCACTCTGGAGCTGCTGAGATGGCCTCAATGCAAATTACACTGGAACAACTCTGAGAAAAATCAGATGTTTGAAAACACAGAGAATTTGGCAAGAAAATTGCTGCAAATCCAGGATAATAAATATGGGAAGATTGGGGATTTACAGCTTCAAAAGCTTTTCTTAACTTACTGTGACTTGAGAAGGAAGGAATTCTTGCATTTTACTCTGTGTTGCATCAGTGGTCAAATTACTGTTTTACTTGTGAAAAACAAAATTCCCTTGAACACGAGGATCAGCTGAATTCACACTGGATAAACAGAGGGTGTAGCTTTGCTTTTATGCAAACCAGGTCCTGTTTGACCATAAAGAATCCTTCCCAAGGAGGGAGGTGGCATGACCCAGAGCTGGGTCCCTGAACTCTGCCCCATCCTGAGGGGACACAGCACCACACAGGCTGAGGGAACAGCAGCTCCAAAAAGAGTTAATTAGTAATTAAGAAAGAGAAAACTTAAAACTGGAATGTGTTTGTTGAACCTGCCTGTAGGATTGATGGGGGTAGCATGGTGGGGACAGACAGAGATGAGAGATCTCTGCAGGCAGGTCGTGGAAATTGCATTTATTGCAAAGGGCCTGGGTGCAGGGCCCTGCTGGGAGCTGCAGCCACAGCTCAGAGCAGGCCCCAAAGAGGGAGAGAGAGATAAAGAGAGTGGTAAAGAGAGAATGAGAGAGTAAAAGAGAGGA